TTGAATTGAACAAGAAAGCGGTGAGAAATTGGCGCAAACAAAAGGATGTGTTAAAAAGCATGGGAAGAAAGCGATCCAATCGGCACGGAAAAGTAAAATGGACAGCTTTAGAGGAAAATTTACTGAGATGGGTTCTCGACCAAAGAAATGCCGGATGCTCCATTTCAACAGTTAAAATCCGTATCCGAGCGAAGTCCATGGCAGAAGAGATGCAGATAACGGATTTCAAGGGAGGGATAAATTGGGTTTACCGCTTCATGCGTCGTAAAAACTTGAGAGTTCGCACCAGAACGACAATGTGTCAGGCTGTTCCGGACGACGTAGATGAAAAAAAAGCTTCTTTCCTTCAGTTTACAAGGAAAGTTATTGCAGAAGGGAAGTATTCCCTAAAAAATATTATAAATATGGACGAAATTCCATTAACATTTGATTGCCCACCGAATCGCACCGTCGATACTTGTGGAGTGAAAACAATATCAATAACAACAACTGGTCAAGAAAAGACCCAATCCACAGTGATGCTCGCCTGCTGTGCTGACGGCACAAAGTTGAAGCCGCTCTTAATCTTTAAGAGAAAAACAATTCCCAAGGAAAATTTTCCTCGAAGCGTCGTAATACGGTGCAATGAAAAAGGTTGGTGCAACGAGGACATTATGCTCGATTGGTTTCAAGAAGTTTGGAAGAAGAGAGAAGGTGCCTTTTTCAATTCCAAAGGAGTACTAATTATGGATTCCATGAGGGCGCACATAAAAGACAGTGTAAAGGCAGAAGCTAAAAAAAAAAAAAAAAAAAAAATCGGTGCTGAACTTAGCGTTATTCCAGGAGGTTTAACAAAAATCCTGCAACCTCTGGATATTAGCGTGAACAAAAGTTTCAAGTCCCACGTACGTGCTTGCTGGGAGATCTGGATGTCGGAAGGTTTACATACTTTCACAAAAGGAGGAAATATGAGACGCGCTTCATACAGTGAAGTTGCCGAATGGGTCGATAAATCCTGGAAAAGTGTTAAAGTGTCAACCATCCGATCGGGATTTATAAAAGCCAGGATTGTTAGTGAAAGCGAGGAAATTACTGACAGTGAAGATAGTGATGCTGAAAATGAACTTTCGGACACTCTTCCCGAAAATATATTAGAACTGTTTAATTCTGATACCGATGAATCAGACTTTGAAGGTTTTCCTGAATGTGGTAGAATGTGTGATTAATTAATATATGATTAATTAGTAAGCACTGTTTTTATTTGTATTTAGCGTTTTATTTCTGAAGGTATATTAGTAAGCAAGTACTTTTTTTCTATTTATACTTAGTTCTTTGTTTCTAAAATACATTAATATCGTCGTATTAAAAAAACTCAATTTCGGACGTATAGTCCGCGGACTATCCGGTGGTGCGGACTATCCGACGATTTTTGAAATTTTTTTATATAAAATCGGACTATACGTGCAAAATTACGGTATTTGTGAAGTATACATGAAACTGAAAACTTTAAGTTATGGAAAGGAATATGTAAATAAAGTCATATCATATTCATATTTTTTGTGGATGGATTTATGTTTCTTATCAGCAAGGATATTTAGATTATCATGTAAATCTATCATATACAGATGTCTGCCGCATTTAAATTTAGGGAAACTTTATTTGAATATTTTAATTACTTTTCAAAATACAGAAAAGTTACTGTACTATTTAAATTACTGCATATTACTGTTTGCTAATGAAAAGAATTTCATGGATCTGGATCGGATTCTTATTACTATTGTTTCTATGTTAAAAATATTCAATGAAGATTACAGGTGAGCATTTATTTTTATAACTTTTGCTTTGAATGCAAAATTCTTTAAAATATAAAACAGCTTCCGAAAAAAATATTGAAAAAAATTTCTCAAGAAAATAGAAGCGAAAGGACCAAAATAAGGCCCTAGCAACATAAATAAACCTAATCTCAGCCAAACTAGTTTCCAAAAATTAAGAGACAAGTTGGTGCAGCTTTAAATATTGGATAGGGAGTTAAGTACAGCATAAATGGCCTTGATTTAAATTTCTGGCTTTTCGTTTGTTTACCCAAGTGAGCTAACCTGTTCTATGGATCTTGGTTTCCACATGCATCTTTGCAATATCATATAGTAACCATGAGGCATGGCTACCTTTAAAAGACCTGGACCTTCTCCCCAACAAATATGTCCTGCATCTAGGAGTCAATTCCAAAATTCAGAAATAATGTTTTGAGGAATGTTAAAGTCATCTGACTGGAACTGAGTGGCTTCCACTCTTCTGATCACTCACTGCTGCTTCACTACTTCTGAATGATGTCTTTGTAATAATTTTGATAAAACATTATGAAAAACAATTTATAAGAAGCAAATAATTCCTCAGAATGCAAAATGAAAGAAAGTATGACATCACTTTAAACAAGTCACCAAACCTACATATTCTGCAAATATGAGATGTGTAATCATAGGTCTGACTTTGTCATATGCATGATTTTGCATGCTATGTAGCATATTTCAACTTAATAACAGACACTGCCGGTAGCAGAGGAGAAGATGCTGACTGAGCATTTTTTCTTAATAGACTTGCCATTTTAATAATTAGTTAATAGCATCTACATCTTTAGTATCATAGCAGATAATTTCTCAGAAAATATATCAGGGGGAAAATATTTCATATTTTTTATGACTTTAGCTGATACAGACCAGAGCTAAGGCACTATCAAATAACACAGCTACTTTAGTCCCTTCAAAAGAATGACATGTCATTTAACAACTCCCAAAAACAATAAGCCATATCTATTTTCGACCTAGTGCTTTGCCCTATAACATGATGGAGAAAAGCACTAGGTAGAAAATAGACACAGGTGGTTTGGGGGACTTGACGATGTCTGAATGTGCAGATGACACGAGCAACTTTGCTATGAAAGAGTTTGAAGGAAATTAATGTTTTAAATTTTCTCACACTCTTTAAAGGGGACATTAACTTTGACTTATAATAACATATTTTAATTCATGTTCATAAAAGTATTCCTGTGAGCCTTGATTTTGAAATAAAACATACAGGCATAGGAATTTCGTGTTTAAACCATGCAAAGGGATGAACTAGTCCTCATTACACACAGCATGCGCAAGACTAAATTATTTAGACTTAAGCATATCATTCATTGGCTAACTGACAAATTGAAATTATGCTTTTGAGGAGCATAGGGAAAACTGGCTCATATTCATATTAAACATGGGGAAACCACTAAAATTCCCTTGCAGAAAGCATGTTTGCCAGGAGTCCAAGTCAAATTACCAATGTTCAGCAATCTCACTGCTTGGCCATTAGTAGCTTTTGTTATCAATGGCATAAAACGAGCACTGTATGGGGTTTTACTTAATCTGAAACCGGTGTAAAATGTATTACTGCTATGTCTGGAATAACTATAGTCATTGAAAAGCTTAAAAAAACTTTTTATTTAAACAGAATTTAGAACATAAACACACTTTCTTGTAATAACAATATCAGGCACAGCTCGTGATGATGTAAATAAACAGAACAGTCAAATTCAAGTTGAAACATAATACAGAAGTCAAAAATTGCACACTTTAAATCTTACTCTAAGCTGGCTCAGTAATTCTAACCAGAGCACCAAAATCAATTTGTCACAAATAACACAAAGCTTAAAATCACAATGATCAAAGCTGGAAGAAACTAAATGTAGCATGTATGCACAGGCCAGAAACACGCTCTGTCTTATAATCCAAAAACTCAAATTTATTACTACCTAACTCGTTTGCATGGTGGTGATGAAAACGAAAATAACTTAAAATAAAAATCCACATCATAATAATTGATTCATTTAAATAATGACCCTACAACTGTCTACGTTTTGGCTCACAACTAATAAGCATTTTCCTGAAAATTCAAGCAAACAGAAATTTGGATGCAAGATATCTTTCCCAAGTGTAACATAAGGAGGTAACATTGTATAAACCATCTACAAATTATATTTTAACAAATCTTAAGTGGCTAGCACGTGACCTCTTATCATTTCCATGTGTTAAATAGCACAATTAAGGCAAGTATCAGTTCCGAAAGATCGTTTGCAAATTAAATCTATTTTTTGTTCCAATGAATAGGAAGGTCTGTATAAAATTTTGGATTATATTTGATTAGGTATAATTGACCATGTGTAAAAACTTTTTTTAATTTATATAAACATAATCTAGTATACTCCCCATTTATTTCATTCTACCAAAAATCATATTTTATAAGGCACTTAAATAACATATAATTTAATAGGTTTTTAATTAAAGAAAATTAAGTGTTCATAATATATAAATACATACTTTGAAATCAATACCATAATTTTTGTTCAACATCATTCCTTAGTATCAAAAGTTTAAATTCAATTTGGTCCACACATATATTCCTGTAATATTTAGATAACAGTTAAAAATGCTCATTTGTTTTTGGAACTACACCTGAATAGTGACTTTATTTGTTTCAGGATCAATAAAAAGTAAACAACTAGGTCTTTTATAATTTGCTATTTGCTCTTGTGCCTTGTCATCATTAACGGTGCAAGTGAATAACAAATGCATTTTTTGATAACATGTTTGTATTACAAGAGTTTTGAAGCTTTACAAATGAAACACTGTTATAAAAATAATTTGCTTCTATGATGAAAAAATCATCACACACATACCACTAGACATCATTGTAAAGATAGTTAAAACATGTTGTTGGGACCCTAATTCGTGCTTATTCACCAATTTCAAAAGCGAATTTTTGTTACATTACAAAACATTACCCTCATATATAGGTTGGTGGGCAGTAAAAATTCATAAGAATGATTCTACAAAGCCAACTGTGTTTCTAATGTTTACAGAATACTCTAAGATGTATGATTGTAAAACAGGCTAATGAATAAGCCATCAGTTAGTAAAATTCTGTATCTATTTCCAAGTGTTGAAAAAGGCCATTAAGACTAACAACTAATTAGTAACGTATTCCCTTTTTACCTTGTGCCTTCATGGTGTAGTTAAAGTATGTGTAGCTGGCATTGGAAAGTCTCGGGTTCAAATCCCAGCTAGGGCATTCCAGATTTCCATTTCTTGGCTTTGAAAAATTCTCCTGAATAAGTGATGCTTGAATTGAGTCCCTTCCTCCTCATTCATCGTTTAAATGAGCCAAATTTATATTATTTCGTCTTTTCTTACTGCATGCTTTCATTGTGCAGTTAGAAGCCCATCCGACTAGCAATTGTGAGATGCAGAGTTTGAATCCAGGTGACGGTATTCTTGTTTTACATGTTTCTGTATCCAAAATAAATTTAATGAATATTAATGATGAATAAAAGTCCTTCACTTTTTCTTCTCTTTTATCATTAAAAACAAACACTGGCTGTGGTTTGTTTTGGATTGATTTTATTCTGACCTCCACAATAAAAGTCTCAAAAAAAAATTGTGTGTAAATGAAACACTATACAAATCAAAAATTCCTGCACTAAGTAACAAGAGATAAACTCTTTGCTATATTTGAAGCAAAAATGTTAAAATAAAACAAAATACATTTTAAAATTTCTCTGCAGATGTACATTGTATCTCTTATCAATAAAACTTTGATAACAGAAAAATGTGAAATATGATGGAACCTAATTATTATGATGTGTAAATTCCATATTAAACTGTTCACGGTAATACACAGATATAGAGCACCATACAACAGTAATTTTAATCAAAATTCTTAAATACATTATTCTTAAATCAAAAATAAATAAGCAAACTATCAGAAATGAGTACATTTACAAAATAATATGATATGTAATATGTAACAATACTATAGAAATGAAATATACTTTTGACCTTCAATTAAAAGCAGAAAATCTGAATTTCAATTACATTATTTTGTAACATTTTTAAGACTAACATTTTAAAAATTTTTAAAAGCTGGATGTGTAAAGTACACCAAAACTATTAAAAATGATACAATAAATTGGTATACGAAAAAGTTATATGAAGATATTTTCCACCATATGAACACCTTTGGTTTTCCAATTTAAATTACATACATTGATGATTATTATGTGAGAAGCATGTCTATTAAACAAATACTTCAAACAATACTAACAGCCACAGTCACTAAAAGCAACTGCCTATACATGTGTGTGTGTATATATATGTATATCGAGAGAGAGACACACAAATATACACACACACACACACACACACACATAAAGATACAAAAAAATTATTTCATACCATAACATATACATAACATACTAAATACTTCACATAACATACTAAAATATTACAATAAAACTTACATAAATAAATGGGATGGTTTACTTGAAAGTACACTCCTCCCAATATACAGCCAAACACGCTTGAGAACAATTCTCTTTAAACTTTCAAAAACTGTTAATAAACAATAAAAAATAATTAGCACAAATTCACACACAAATTGGCTCTCTTTATAAGTAATTAATTTTAAAATCTGAACACTTATATCTCCTTTAACACACTGCATATACACAATGACTGACTATAATGACATATACGTGACAGCCAACCTCTGCACCCTTGAGTCTTGCTGCAGCCATATACATTACATTTAGTATGTATTTAAGAATAATAATCCCTGTTATTTCAAGAATCTTGCATTAATTTCAAATAATCTTTGTTATAAAGATTTTCCTACGATTATCAGAAAAATGAAAATATATCTAAATCTGGAAATCCCATCAATAATAATAACTTTTTGTTAACCTTGCTCTAGACCACCAATTAGGCATTACTGACATACACAAATACAAATGACCATGAAAATACACTGCAATACTTCTAAACATTATTTACTCTGGTATTGTTAATTCCTTGGGATCTCAATCCTTATTTTTAAATTCAAGTAGCATTCTGATTTTAAAAAACTTTTTCAAATTAGGTTTTTTTAAATAATACATTTTTTAATTATATATGAATGCAACATTATAAAATATTTATAACAGCTGGTAAAAAAGCTGATTCATATTTATTATTAAACTTTATTTTCTTTTTGAAGTCATCTTTTAAAAATGCCACATCTCTTTGTTGCTAGCCTGAAGCAAATTAATTACCCTTGTCACACAGCCTTACATAATTTTATGTAGAAAAAAGTGATGCATAAAAAAAATACTGTAATATAATGAAGGTAACAGAATGTTAAAAAAAAGTGCAATAATGCTGAATTTTTAACATCAATTTTTCACTGATGACTATGATCTCACTGATCATATTAAGTTTTCACTAATGATTCACTAATTAACACTGCTTTTTTTTCATTGCTTAATGTACATACATAAAAATCATGAGGATTTTGGTACTTTTCTACTAACAAGAAGGCAGTCGTTAAATGTGTGCCAAAGTGGCAAATGTGGTTGCTTGTTTATATTGCATCATGAATAACTGCACGACGATATGAACATGCAGGAAGAATGAATATCAATCTAGGACTTTTTTCTCCTAGACTTAAAGTTGATTAATATATTTGCTGCCAGGGAAAATATTTCCATCCTTAGAAGCCAAATTACAAAAATAGTGTTTTAATGGTTAAAATAGTTCTTTATATTTTCCTAGTAAAACCATACAAATGGAATAATATTTTAATTTCATGTTCAGCATCATATTTTTTCAAATGCTCTACAGCAGCGGTCCCCAACCATTTTGTCCCTAACAGCACATTGTAGAATACCTGTTGGACGGCGAGCACCATTTACTTTTTCAAGGTGAATTTATAGTTGGAGAGTTAATACATGCACATAAAAAAAAAATAAATAAAAGAGAGGTTTGTCGCATTTCGCTTTGTGCTGGTATCTGTGCTGGATGCAATTTCTATTTCACTAAAAATGAGAACACTTTTCCATAGAATTTTATTGAGAAGTAAAACATTTTTTATTGTGATCACACATCAGCAGGCACGTGTTAAATGATTGGCGGGTGTCATGGTGCCCGTGGTCATACTGCTGAGAACCCCTGCTCTACAGCATCAGTGGAACATCAAGTACAACCTCTCATCCATGTGCCACTGACATTATAGTGTGTCTGATCATTATTCTAAGAAATTATTCACATATTGCATAAAGCCCCAGTTTTAAAAGAAATAAAATGTATAACTAGGGTAATAAGAAGTCACATTTATGAGTGAAATATAGAAAATATGATCAAATAACAAGTATGAAATGGAGATATTGGCATTGTTGAGTTAGTCTGATAAATTCAAAATGTTGAAGCAAAACAAAAATTATAAAAACTACCTATTATACCTACATATCGAATGCTCAACTCTAAAGATAACATAATGTAGCAAATTATACATAATACATAATCGATATAGTAGGAAATCATGAGAAGAATGTAAAAATTATAAACTTATTGATGTCCAAACCAAATGTCATTTGTGTAGAGAAAAGAACTACATTACCACTTACGGTACATTTCACAGCAGTTCAAACAATATCTTGATTTGTCTCAGCTGTCACACCTGGAAGTTAAGTTACCTTCTCATGCAAATGAATGCTGTATTAAATTCAAAGAAAATACTTTGGAAAGAGCACACAGTGTAAAATTAATAATCAAATGAAATAATTTATTAAAATTTATACTTGTAAAATATTTGAAAGGCTGGATTTGCTATGAAAATTAATGTAAAGAAAATAAATGCAGGATTTTTTTTAACAGTTAGCAAACCTATTTATTTCACTAGTTACTTCGTGCAAAATGGGAGAGGGGGTATTTTCAGTACTTGTCCATTACCTGAAAACAGGAGAGGCATAAAAAAATAGCAATGTGGTGTCAATACATGCTGACTTCCCTACTGCAACCATGTCCTTATTCTTCACAAAAAAGAAAACCTGAGTATGAGTAACAAACATTACCTTACTCTGTGATGATTTTTTTTAACATTTCATTCTATATTGAAAGTAGAAGCTATGCAGAAATCATCAAGATATAAACTAGACCAGACTGCTACTCACTCAGCAGCAACCAAAGTAACCAATAGTGAGATCACCACTGAAGTTATATTGTTATCTATAGTAGATTCTGGTACCACATAACCCATAAGTGGCAAACTTATTGCTTTATAAAATCTGTTATTTTTAATGTCACATTCAAACACTTAAAAATAAAGATTCTTTTACACTTTTCTCCTCTCAAATTAAATTGTTCTGTATCATGAAATAACTGCAGTACTGACAGGTGCTGTAATTTTATAGGTTATGTTAAAATTATTAGCAGAAGAACTACTCTTCCATAAAATTTAATGTTACAGGTAAGTAAACAGTAACAGTAAAGACATAAATAATATATGGTAGATGAAGTTAAACCTGAGTCAAGAAACTTCTAATAAAATTTATATCATACTCATATTACACATAACAGTGACAGTCAAACAAGAAATGTTATGTGATCAAACGAAATATTTACTAATATACAAATTCTTGAAGATTGAGATAAATCAATTTCTACTGTCTTCAACAATGGAAAGTCTTCCAACATTAAATATATATGGGATGGCAAGATAAAATGTGTACATTCAAAAAGAAATATAACAGTTGAAATAAAATGAATCACTACAGATATATTATGGGAAAATGAATATGTTTAATCACCAAGAAACGTTTCCTAACAAGACTTGGCACCATTTCACTATTGCTCTGCTTTGGAGAGCTCAATCAAATTGTTTATGCCTTACTTAAGTTACCAATTACTTATTAATTCCTTATATATGTGTACATAAAAGTAGATTATAATTAAAGTTTAATTACACAAATTACAGTTATTCATAATTGCCATACTTTGATTTTATGCAGCAAATCTGACTAGTATAAAGTACATAACTGTTTAGTTAATTTTTTCACTGCACTTCATCTGCGCTATTTAACCTGTAATCGGCATGCTGAACTGTCACAGAATATATGTATTCTGTGTACTGCATGAACATGTCTAGCGTATACGGCATCCTTCAACATAAAATGAACTAGTATTACTTTCTGACCTCATCTTTCAAACATTGTTGTTTAGTCCATATCTCATGGAACAATGGTTGTCACACCCTACTCCAAAGAGAGGTTGGACTTTTGTTTTTCACCCCAATTTTGAGGAAAAGCACACAGGGGCCTCCCACACCTCTCCCCTTCCACAAATTCACATGAGAGGACTTTTGGCTTGCCGCATATTTAGAGTGCCGCCATGCCACACCAGTACTACACATTTACATCCATGTCTTCTCCAGGATTCGAACCCGGGAACTCCGGCACCGTAGTAGCCTCCCCTAACCACTATACCATCTGGGCGACATCTCTCAAACATTAAGTTTGATTATTTTTATTTAGATTTTTATATTATGTTTTAAAACAAGATAAATTAACAAGAAGATTTTATATTTTGCTACTAATGTTTTTAAAACTATGAGGAACCAGTGATTGAAAATAAACACGCTGATATGCATAAGACATGACAATAATGAAGAAAATCATAAATAGATAGATATAACAAATTAGGATTTCATACACATATCTTAATACTTTCAATTAGGAGACATTTCCTATGCGATGACTCTCAAATGGGTATATATTACAAATCAGGATTTCATATACATATCTTAATTTTTTACTTTAGACTTTCAAACAGAGAACATTTCATATGCAGAATTCAGAAACATTAATTTGAAATTTACACAAGTTGCAAGAAGACAATATATCATTAAATATATTTATATTCTATTTTACACTTTTTTAAACTACCTACCTAGTGCAATGTAACAACTAATTTTTTTATCATTATGATTTTAGCAAATCAGTATGCATTTTTTTTCTCCTAGAAACACCAAAGTATTCACAAATGGAATACCTTCCTTGTAAGTACCAGGATCTCACAATTACTCATTTAATACTGAACTTAAATAACATTCTTCATCTTTCTTTGTATAATATTTTGCGTTGCCACTTTTTTCATAAGCTGCACCTTCTATATTTCTGAATTATTAAAAAAAATGCCAAACTCTTTTAATCTTCTGAGTTGACAAGTCATCTATAGAATATAGTTTCTAGTTCATAAAGAAACTATTTTTTATAGATGATCCTATCTGGGGGAAAACGTATAGGGCCAATAAATTGTGTCTGTAAACTGAAAGTGAAAATTTCTTTAAGTCTGAGACGTAAACCTAACTTTTAAAGTTTTTATCAAAGCTAGAAAAAATTTAAGAATTGGTATAATCAATTAAATTAAAGAATGATAAAAAAATACAAATAATACTAAAACTATTAATCTTCCTTTGTTTAATGTTTTAAACAGAACTTTTCAAGAGGTTAGTAATTTGAAACATTAAACTGGGACACTTAATGAGCAGTAAACAAAATGTTTCATTCTTCTTCACATTATAGGGCTCAAACAGCCGTAAACTAATTTTTCTTGTTTGCAGAATTATATTTCTAATAGTCCTACAATGTCAAGAACTACTCCTACATGTCGTTCACTACTCTATGGATTAAAGCACAGAAAATAATCTTAAATTTAAAAACAACCAAAATTAAGTTGTAAAAAGTACCAAAAATACAAAACTAAAGCTTAGTGAAAAAAAACTAGAAAAATTTCATACAAATACTTTCAAAAACTTTATTCGTTTAAAACTTTGCGGCACGGTGTGCCCACTCTGGGCCCACCTAAAAATTTCCTTTTGTACGCACAGAAAAATTGAATGAAAAAGGATTTATAGATTACTCCGAACCTTCTTTATTTATAGTAGTTGGCAGATCAACACAAACCAGTCCATATATTTTAGCCATGTTTAGTTTCTTAAAACCCTCATTTTTCAAAGAAATCTTCCAGTTTTTTTTAATGTATAAAAGGAATTGTTTGAAAAGAAATTTCTCTTATTTTTTTGTTTGTATGCTAATCTCCTTATTCTATATTAGTTTTAAATTTTTACCTTGAAATCTTGCCTAAAATCAAATGGCGAACCTCAGGTGTTCCTAAACCGGGCTCACCGAGACACTAGGACAATTGAGAGACAGTATTCTTTCTTTCTCCGCATCTCATCGGTCAGTTCATTGCCAACAGAAAGGTGGGTCCACATCTATGTTTCATTTCCTGTTTTTCTCTTTCTTCTCTTTTTTGGGGGGGTTGGGGAGGGGACGTTCGGTTATTAACTGACAAATTGTCGGAGTGATTTTCTGAAAGTCAAGGATAATTTTATCAGTTAGCTGTTCGGTTTTTCACTAGAGCAGTTATCTTTTTCTCTTTCGCTTTCGTTCAAAGTTTCGCTAGCACAACGTTTAATAGTTTTGAGTTATAGATGTTTATTTAATTTTATTTTATAGTTTATAATTTCTAATTGTATATATGAGTTTATTTTTTTCGGATTGTAATTATTTTCCAAACGGATCGGAGAGGGCTGACCATTTCTATATGTGAATTGCTTTCAGATAGCGAATCTGATATGGATCCCGGTGCATGTGCAAAACATTCAATATTGGGTTGTGCATTTTCAAAGGTGGTGTCAGTTTCTTCGAAAAGTACCACCATGCAAAAAATAGAAAAAGTGTAAATATGAAATGTAAATAATGCAAATATCATATACCCAAGTTACTTTTTTCATTCATATGCATGTAATCATCATATAACCGAAAAACAGCTTTTTAGGGGATGTAGAGTAGCAGGTCTACTTGTGGCACACCCTATTCAGAATCTAGAGTTTTTTAATCGTAGGCAAAACCCCTTATTCTTTTACGCACTTCCCAGCAATGCTCGTTTCGATCTGTGTGCCTGCTTCGGGCACACCCACAGAATTGAAATGATAAGTGCTATCTTCACAAAATTTTACTTGTGTACTCCTCTAAACCTAATTAGACTGCCTACCTTTTTTTTTAATCAAAACTCCTACTTTAAAAGGTAGCGTGTCAGAAAGGGTTAAATTATGAAAACTTCCGAAGTAGTAAATATACAGTTAAAAAAAGAGCCGACTCATGAACATGAATGTCTAAACTTTTAAAACCTGCTATAGGTGGAAAAAAAAAAGGAGATTTACAATGAAATTGTCATCATTTTACAAGCTCGCAATTTAAAACTAAGCACCCTTAAAAAGATAAGAACCAGATAATTATAGAAATCCGAATATAAAAAAATTACATATGCAGCCTGCTAAGGATGTAAAAAATAACGAATATTTCTTTAACCAAAAATGCATCTGACAGGGCATGTTGCCAAATTCTGTGCTTTGAATTCAAGAAAGAAGGGGTTGCCAATTTTTTTAAGAACTCTGAAACATCATAAAAGGACAGTAGAAACAAATTTTTAGGAATTTTAAACAAATGGGGAGGTTGTCTATTCTCTCAAGGTTGTGTATTTGACAAGCAATAGGCCAAAAAACATTGGCCCAATTACGTTGGTATTTTTTAATGTAATCTGAGAAACATCCCGTAAAACTGTGTAGAGACATTAGGTATTTTTGAAAGCAGGCAAGATGAAAAATTAGCAGCCGCCTTCAGCAGGAATCGAACTATGGAGCTCTGGAATACCAGCCCAGCGTGCAGAACCACTACACCACGAAGGCATGCTAGGAAAGTGGGAGAAATATCTTATAACGGGTAGAGGTTGTTCTTGTCAAAATAAAATGGCTACCGATGTTGTGCATAAAGAAATTTGATTTTAAACTAGATCTGGCAAAAGCAGAGGGAAAAATGAAAACAGCTAATTAAAAGCAGAAAGGCCTTTATATAAATGAGCTATAATTAAGTCTTTGAAAAGAGTAGGCTCTTTGTTAATATAAAAGCAAAGTGCCAGATTAGTTTTCACCTAAAAAACGAATATCTGAGAAAGTATTATATAAGGATTAATCAATACAAATATTTTACAGAGATTAATTACATATTTACATTAAATGTCATATAAAAGCCATCCTACCTTACAGACCTCTCAGTTTAGGGTATATTTATCATATTGCTGTAAACATATAATTTAAAAATTGTAGTTAATGTCTGCTTCAATTAATGTTTGGTAAATTTTGATTTTGGGTATTCCATTTTATATTAGTAGATTTATTAATAGTCGAACTTCTTGAAAAAAATTAATATTATTGCAAACATTTTTTATTCTAATCAGTTGAGTGTGAATAGTATTTAAAATAACATTTTTCGAAATGTCACAATGCCAATTAATGAGTTTATTATTATTGAAATTTTCTTTTATCATAGATTTTGTTGGAGAGGGTTGTTTAATATTTCAAATCTAAGTAATCAATGTTTTGTTGTAGGCCTTATCGTTAAGCTTTAGGCAAGTAGGGTACATATTTTTTTTATTTCTCCAAAATTATTAATTGCTAAGAAGTCATTATTTATATACATATGTTAAAAAATATTTGTTCTAATAACTTAATGTACACACATGGCCAGAGATAGGCTTCAATTTCTACTGTCCAGTACCTTTCTAAATTTGCAAAAGATTTCTCCGCCCCTAAAACTTCACTTTTCGGTGCTTCCCTAAATTCTAAAAATTTTGCCACCCAATTCAGCAACACCAGCTCTGAGATTGGCCATATATATGTGTGTGTGTGTGTGTGTAATATTTCCAGGAACATAGAAGTGTAATCAGCTTGCAGTCATCATGGCTGGAAGTGTAAGGCGGTATCCAAATGACAACAGAGAAGAAGTTAGCTGTTTTGATTCCACATCTTTATTTAATTCAAATGGCAAATCATTATTCTTTTAGATTCTCAAAGATTACATATGCATGTTCAAACAAAGGAAGACAAATGGGAAGAGCGGCAGCAAAGGTCTTATAGCAGTAGAACAAGGCAGTCTGACTAAAAATGGTGCGAACTCTACATTTATAGTAGCGGTTAAATAACATGACAGAATGTTCTCGAATGTACTGGTCTAGGGGGAAGATCTTGAAATTGTGGAAAGTTAATTAGAGGTTGCCTGTTCGCATAGAGCAAAGCTATCATTATATTTAACATATAACACACATATATATACACATATAACATATATATATATATATACACACATACGCACATCCTTGGCTGCTTGAAGAATTAAGATCAGGATAACAGGATAATACATACACAGCAAAGACATACTTAATGGCCAGATAACCACAGCTACATTAATTACAGCATTATACAACTACTACTTACAATAAACTGGAAACTGCATTTTTAAGTAATATTTGTGTGTCACTTATGCAATCCAAATGTAAACAATCCAACTTGTTACTATTTTATGCTTAACATTATCTAAATAATTAAAGAGAAAAAAAGCCGGCATATATGATAGGTTCTATACAGTTTACTTATACATCATTTAAGGCACACACCAGTGAATCAGATAAGTGATGTTAAGAGAAACAAATTAATATTAAAATACAATGATCATCATAATACTTTGGATTTAATTTTTAAAATTTCAATGCAATGTTTTATACATTAAACATACTTTCTTGTGACTAAAACATTTTTAACTCTTCTTCCTTGCATGAGAAATGTCTATCTTCTGTTAGTTTTAATGACTTACTTTTATAAATAGTTTAATTATTACTATTACAGGTTTATAATTCTTACAGTTTGTGAATCAAATAACAAACATAGAAAAAAAATTTAAAGACATGGCAAACATACAATAAATAAATTAAAAATATATATATAAGAAACAAGATCCAATACTGAATTACTTTCTTTTTGAATAAAAAAACTGCTACTGATAAATGTTGCCTTACTTTACTTCCCTTAAAAGTCATTAGAAAACAATAACAGCTTAACATTAAGTAACAGTTGTGATATAAAGTTCTATATATATATTCTATTTTATTTGGAAATTAATTCTTTTCTAGATATTGTGCTAGAAGTGACTCAAATAAAGCAATTTCTAATCATGTGGCTGCATATTCTTAACAAATGGAAAAAAAAAATACTGGTCACAAAAATATTCCAAAAAGCTTAGAACATCTAATTAGCATATACACTACATAAAAAAACACATGATTGCTATGTACATTTGTTGCCATAATCTTGTGTATTTCACTGCTGCTAATAAGCTATCTCATACTTATTCATAACTGCTAACACCTGATAAGGCTGATCCTTTTCTAACATACAGATACTTTTAATTATTAGAAATTATGAAAAATGAATATTTAGTACTGTATATTATCAACAGTTATAATGCTAAGTGTATTATGCATATAACACAGCAAAGCAGAGTATATTTTAATAATTAAAGCCATGCCTTTCCTAACATACAAATATTTTTAATTATTAGAAAGTATTAAAAAATGAATTTTCAGTACTGCATGTTATCAACAGTTATAATAGCATAACAGTAGCTATCCTAACCCATTTTATCCAGAATTTTTTTATGGGGGTGAGCAGGTATTTAAATTAAATCAGCAATAGTAAATAATAAAAACTAGTAGAATCACAGTTAATATCGAATGTGCAATTACTGATAGATGATATCAATATGAAAGAACGAGTAAAAATTTCCAGACCATTTTTAGTCTAAAGGGGCATTGTCCCTGAGGGGCTATTGTTTTCCTTTAGCGATTTTGCATCTAATCACTCTGAATATTGAAACTTGGAATGTGTTTTATTATCGATTTCATAATTTGTAAAAACTTTAACGAATTTTTGATTAACAAACTCAACGATTTAAAAGCGAGCAATGGCAACACTCTACGGAGGGGAACCTTTTTATCTCCAGCACACAGAACTGTGTATCAGAAATTCTAAAGATATGCTCAATTTAAAATTATTTTGGGTTGATCTTTACAATATGGTAACTGGTAGTTTGGCGACATTTTGGAGGCCATAAAGGTTACTACCTGGCACTTTGATAATAATGTGAGCAGTACTCAGTTCCGATTACGCATTATTTTGTGTGAGGGAAATGAGAGATCATGGGATATGTCATGTGATATTAATGGACGAATTACGGTTCTTTAATCGGAAAAGGGGGGAAATCAGGAAAAAATCTGGAAATTTTGTATGTGGCTTTATTCTGTGTTGTGTGAAACAGTGTTCGTGAATTTTTGGATCCCATGGCCGTAACTAAAGTGAATTCGGAATGGGTATTTATGTATGTATTAATTTAATGTATGTGCTCATTTATATTTTAAGTAGTGTTTTTGAATTTAATTATATTAAACGTAGATTAAATGATAGTTATTTTGTGAATTTTATGTTTGTAGGAATTTGGTATACGTTTTAGTTGAAGTAAACGTGCATGGAAATAATTTAAATATCTGACAATAAGTATTTGTAATGGTTCCGGTATGAATTCGTTGGTGACGTGTATAATGTAATATGATTTAGAGGTAAAAGTTTTTTGGATATTTTATTTATTTTATATGTGGAAATTGTTCATTACTTTTTTTCGCGATCAGGTAATTTCATATATGTTCTTTTTACCGGGTTTAAAGATTGAGAAAATTGTCATGTATTTTCGTGAAATTTTTCTAATTTATGAGAAAAAAGCAGTGTAACATGGATATAGTGAAGAGTGTGCGCAATGCCATTTTGTGCAATTCTGGGATGTTTTTTTAAGTAAAAATAAGTCGACGTGTACATGGTTTAGTGATATTTTAATTAAATGATAGTTATTTTGTGAATTTTATGTTTGTAGGAATTTGGTATACGTTTAAGTTGAAGTAAACGTGCATGGAAATAATTTAAATATTTGACACTACTAAGTATTTGTAATGTTTGCGGTATGAATTCGTTGGTGACGTTTATAATGTAATAGATGATTTAGAGGTAAAAGTTTTTTTGGATATTTTATTTATTTTATATGTGGAAATGTTCATATTTGGAAAGGGTAAATACTTTTTCGCGATCAGGTAATTTCATATATGTTCTTTTTACCGGGTTTTAAAGATTGAGAAAATTGTCATGCATTTTCGTGAAATTTTTTCTAATTTATGAGAAAAAAAGCCGTGTACATGGATATAGTGAAAGTGTGCCAATGCCATTTTTGTGCAATTCTGGGATGTTTTTTTAAGTAAAAATAAGTCGGCATGTACATGGTTTATGTTTATGTGTGTGTTATTTTGAAAAACGGCGTAAGGAGTATGGTATTGTGCACTTTTCTTTTTCCCAATTTTGCAGTGAATATTTGTCATGATTAAGCAGTTTTGTTAGATAAAATTTCTAGCATAAGTGTAATTCGCTAGTAGATTGTTGGAAGAAGTGTTCAGTAGATAAAAAGAAAAGAAACATGTCTTTACTTCGTGAAGACAAAATGGCGGCGGGAAAAAAAATAGAGGGTTGCTGTAGAAGAGTTGGTCGCCAAATTTTCGCCAAAAAAACGCCAAGTTACCATAATGTAAAGATCAACCTTATTTTGTGATATTGCTCTTGAACCGAATTTTATGGTTTAAGTTCGAAGAACATGATATTTAATAAATAAAGGTAACACACAAAATGTTAAAAAAACGCCCCTTTGGACGTAATTCAATATCTGAAACCTTTCAGATTTTCTTTTTTATTTATTTTTTCTTCATTATAGTAAAGAGATGGCCATGTGACCAGCATTCTTTCACCACAATATAATTATAACAAAATGTAAGATTCATAACTTCAAGAAACTCTTAAGTCACAATAATAACTAACATCATTAAAAGAAACAATATATAAAACTGTAAATCTCATTATAACATCAATTACATTAATGTAGCTTTTGCTATTAAACTACAACAGTATCTTCTTGAGAAGATATTTTTAAGCAGCTCCTTTAATTAGTAAATTATGCATGGCTTTATTGCTAACAAATTTCAACAAAACATCTAAACTCAAATTATTTTTCAACAAAGGAAAAAAAATCATCATTATTTAAGTACTAGACAGAATAACTAAAACTAAAAAAAAAAAAATCCCAATTTTTAAAAAATATATAATTATTCAAATAACAGAATAACTAAAAATAAAATACATTTTCTTTTTTTTTTTCATTTACCAGAAATAAAATAATATAGTACCATTAACAAATATAGAATTATGGCAGCTCTAGAATTAACTTTCCAGTGCAGTCAATCTACGTTAATTAATAAAGATACTATTCATAATACTAAAGGACAGTACATATAAATTATCACCGTATCATTCATTACACCTTTTCATACTTAAAGACAAAAATGGAACATGCAGTTTAACGAAATATTTTTTCCTTAACATTTTTATTTAGCACATGTATATACATTCCAGTACTTGAAAAATCCAGATGAGAAAATTATGCAATATATGCCAATTGGGTTATAAGTTATAGGAAGAAATTTTAAATAAAGAAAACATATGGATAGAAATTATAACACTACTGCATTCTATTTTGAAAGAAATCAGATACTTTATGTATCACGCTTTTTATTTACATAATGTATTTTGATTTACGTGTCCAAAACTTGTACATTATTAGAAATTAGAATTTTCTAAGTCATAAGCTGAGAAAGTTACTGAGAAATTGTGCATAGACAGAAAGACATAAGAAAATACATTAAATATTGAAAATATTCAAAACTACAATACATAACAAAACAGAAATATTATATAAAGTATATTCACAAAACTACATTCATAAATAAATTAGAATTTTCTAAGTCAGAAGCTGAGAAAGTTACTAAGAAATTGTGCATGGACAGAAAGACGTAAGAAAATACATTAAATATTGAAAATATTCAAAACTACAATACATAATAAAACAGAAATATTATATAAAGTATATTCACAAAACTACATTCATTAATAGATATTTAAAATTAAAAGCATCACAGCATTTATAATTTGCAGACAATAAAAACATTTATAAATAGATTGGAATAAATGCAACCTGCACATACTTTGCTTACAAAAAATCAAAACCAATAAAATTATACATATTACTTTACAAAATTATAACTGAAATCACTTCATAACTTTCAGAAATAAATCAGCAGAAAATTTAACTACATCATAAAAGAACGGAGAAAGTTTCAAAAGCAAGATTTCTAAGCCTAATTACTTGACATGTTTTCTTAGAAAAAAATGTTATAAACTTCAGACACCTGTTCCACGATAAACAGGTGTCATGGCATTGATAAACAAATTTTAACTATTTGAAAGGAGTATTTTTTATCTACCACATATATAGTATATGTACAAGTATTTAAACATAAGCAGAGTATTTTCTATCATAAAAAGTAGCAAAGAGATAAACACACACACAAACGACATGAAATTTATATAAAATTTCTTAAAAATTAATTAAATTCTACAGCTACCTATAAAGTTAAAGCTCTTGCATTATGCCATTTTGGGTAAATATAAATATTCTTAAAAACAAAAAAAAAATATCTAAAAAATAAATAACAGAAGTGTTTCGAAAATATATTCTGTAACTTTTGCACTACAGAATTCAATATTTCATCCTAATACATAACACAGTTTATGAATAATGGTTATTATTAAAATTACAATATGCTTTTACATAAGTTACATAAAAAGTATACAAAAGTTATCTAAAGAAAGCTTCCGTGTGTCAATGAACTTATAAGCTTGTTACATTTTATATATAATTGATATAGCTATGTGGACTTTTTTGAACACATAAATTAATGTTAAAGCAATCTACAACAAATTTTTATCATAAGCTTATTATCATCTCTGATTCAATTTTAAGTAAAATTTAAACTACATTTTTAACAAGAAATAATTACCTTCTCCACTCTAGCATTTAATATCCAAATATGCCAAATAAAATGTTGACTGACACGATTTACTTTCAATGTTTTTCTTTGCTTGCACCTTTCTAAACAAAATCACTCGCTCTGGGGAAAAGAAAAATTGACTTTACTCTTCTGCCATGTAAAAGTATTACACAATATTCAACTTAAATTTTCATTATTTTCACAAATGAGTCAGGTTATATGTCTGTTTTTACAAATTATGGAAGAATATATTTATCTCCTATAATTACAAATTAGTATTATAGCTTATTTAATTCCAGCCAGTTTCAAAATTCCATATACATCCTACAGAACTAACACCAGACTTTAAAAAAAAAAAAAAAAAAAAAAAAAACTGTTTACTTCAACCCCCCAAAAAATGGTCTGCTCTAGAGAAATAATAAAATCTCTATATCAATACTTTATTATATACATTAAAGTTAAGAACAAGGATCAGCTATATTATTTAAAAAATTTATATTAACAAGGTTATATTTTACTTTTTAAAACATTTCTGATGAAATGTATCACTACATTATAAGCTGATTACTACATAAGAAAGTATAGAACTATTTTATTATATGATAATTATTTAAAAAGTGACACTGCTCTTCTGTCAACTTTTCCTCAGAAGGAAACATAACAGAATTTAATTTTCTATAAATATATATGTGTTTACTTCAATTCTGAAATAAAATAGAGTACTTGTAATGTTTTATTTGATCATATTTTCTATACACAAGCTTATTTCAACATAAAAACAACACTGCACATCAAAAATATGAAACGCATGGAAAAAATGAAATTTATTAAAAATAATTTACCTATGTGTTTCAACAATATTTACTTATGCCAGACAAAATAAAACTATTTCTAGTCCCCCCTTTTTCATTACATTTTAAGATCAAGGAGCAGTAAATCTAAAATAATTGTAATAAATCTAAAATTTTACCGAATTAGGATGCACGTTGAATAATTGTTATTTGGAATATAATTTTAAAATTTATATTTTTTTGTAGTTGTATTTGTAATGTTTTATTTGAGCACATTTTCTAGACACAAGCTTATTTCAATATAAAAACAGCACTGCACATCAAAAATATATAACGTATGGAAAAATGAAATTTATTACAAATAAATTAACTACGTTTTTCAACAACATTTACTTATGCCAGACAAAACTATTTCTAGTCCCCCCTTTTTCATTACATTTTAAGATCAAGGATCAGTAAATATAAAAGAATTGTAATAAATCTAAATACCAAATTAGGATGCACATTGAATAATTGTTGTTTGGAATATAATTTTAAAATTTATATTTTTTGGCAGTTGTAGATTGCACTAACTTTGAAATTTTTGGTCTAGAAATTCAAAAGTGTGAAGTTTTACTTCATCTTTCGAAATTCTTCATTTTTTATTGCATTTCTTTATTCCATACCATGGAGAATAATTTTAAAGATACATTTACTTAAACCATGAATTATGTGAATGAACAAAACAATCAATTTAATTACTTATTGCAAACTATATAAGAAACTGAAAAATGTTTATTTATAGGGAAATTGTTTGAATGAAAATATATAGTGAATTATATACCTGTTCAAAAAAAAAAAGCTAAATTTTAGGATTCATATTCTTATTCTGAAGCCTTAAAACTTTATTATAAACTTATGAAAATCAAGTAGCTACAAAACCGTAGCATTCGCTTTATCCTTTTAATCTCATATTGTGGCAGTATTATCAATTCAATCAGCTAAGCAATTTAATACTTATCTACTAGCACTCACCCATTTCAACATTACAGAAATAAATAACCACTAGCACTAAAAGTCTCACTATGCAACATATCAGTTCACACTATGCAACATTTTGTTCTGTTCAATAAAATGAAAAACTGCATTTCCACTACCAGCTTTTACATAAAAGCATTCAAGCAGATATACAAATTATATTCAGTTTTCAAGCATAGGTTTGGAGAGATGCTTGCTTGGAGTTACTTCATATATAGTTCAAAAAATAGCCCTACGATTAGTTTTGACGCTTTATAACGTTATGATATACTGTAAATCAAACATTCTGCTATTTATGATACCCAACTACAGCTTAAATTGTCTTAAATTACTTCAACATATCATCGAAATTTCATGTAACTATATGGGAATAAACTGATAATAATACATATATCTCAAGCAAACTCTGCATAATTTAAATCCTTTATGGTTCATCAATGCTATATGTGGATCAGAAAAGCGAAAAAAACCATGATATTAATTTTAAAAATTTAATTCAATTCACGCGACCGATGTCAACAAAGCCAAATGGGCCGCTCAATCTCAGCCTATCCTACGACGGGCTAGGCTTAACTTCACCTCAGCTGATACTCGATCGGTTTACAAACACACAGATCGGTTTGTGTCACATACGAGGTTCGGGCACAATTTATAGCCTCAAGTTGCAAACGACTGAGATCAATATTATGTTAAGAGCAATTTTAGCATACCTTTAGTTTCATTATGCTGTTCCACGATCATAATGCTTACAATAGCGTTGTATGGACATCCTGGTAATAGGAGGCTGAAACGCGGGGTCAGTGAAACACAGCCATCACTAGCGTCACTTCGAAAAATTTGCAACCCAGTTTTGCGGAACTACCCAAAACAACTGCAATATAATACAACACTCTCAAAGTTTTATTCCGTATTCAGCCGAATTTCTGCTGTTTAGATCACACCAAAATAACACTTTTAAACATCTTACGTTTCTATTATTATAGTAAAGGCTGACTTCACCAGTACAACAAATCATTCTCCGCCATTAGATGATAACATGAACATAACCTCGACCGCGCAACTCTCCACTTTTGAAAATTGAAACTTACGAATTACAAAAATCAGCGGCTGAAAGAAAACAAATTGTTCTGTTAAATTTAAGTTAGTTGTTTAAATATGACAGATAACAGTATTAAAAAGTAAACTTGAATAAATTCTAAAATTGTTAATTTTCGGACAAATAATTCAAAGTTTGTGCATTTTACAACTACCAAAAAACATAAATTTTAAAATTATATTCCAAACAACGATCATTCAATATGCATATTAATTCGGTAAAATTTTAGATTTACTACATCATTTAAATTTTCGTTCAGATTGTAACAGAAAATGTTACATACACTCAAGAGGAAGACGGCTAGAGAAATCTTTCAATCTGAATATTATACAGCGCTTGAAACGAATATAAAGTTTTGTAAATTAATGGAATTCATGCTTAATTTTAATAAATTATTAATTCTTTCCATAAAGAGTCATGTCTCTAATTTCATATAAATGACAAAAAGTACATTAATTAAGTCTCTAAAAATTTCATAAAAATTAAAGAAATTTTTATCTTTTTCTTGGCTTTAAATAGATGTCCTTTCCATTTAATTCAGTTACTGCTGGTTGTTAAAAATAAAATAAATGTTATTTATACCGTAAATTTGCTTTTACGATCTACATAAAGTGGAAGCGTACTAAAAGGTTCAAAAAAACAATATTTCATTGCGCAAGGTTAGACATGATGCTTTTCAAAGTCCCTGCATGATTGAAACGTAAACACATGGCAACAGCCGTGAAACATAAATATGAAAATATGAGACACATGAAGAATACTATGTTTACAGAAGCTCCCACAACATTATTTAACTTAAATTCCGCACGGTTCAAGTTTTGTTGAACAAAGTAATGAATCTTCACTAACTGGTCATTAAAGAGTAGTGTAATATACTCACACGTACGCACAACGGGAAAGAGGGCCTACGAGTACTTTTAACACATAATTCTAATATAAAATATTATACGCATATAGTTTTCATATTTTGCTTCTAATAATGTAATCTTTTATTTTAATTAGCCAGCTATCGTTCTGGCTTTTCTGTGCATCTACTTTTCTCAACTTCACCCAGGATCCAAATAAGCATCAAGTTTCAAGAGAATGTTTGGCAACTTAAGCTGACTGTTACTGTGTTTTAAATTTCGACTGATGCAATTAATTTGCCAACAAAGAATTACTCGCTATATTTCTTCGGGAATGATTAGTCGGGGTGTCAAGTTTAAAGCAAGGTTCGTTAATTCTGTATAAAAGTCGTCCTACAGCGTTTTACGGTTACCGAGCAGTTAACTGACATTTAAATTAATTATATTCAACATTGATAATTCGCTGGAAATATTCCGACAACTTTAACTCAAATAAACGGGTTTCTACTCTCTTACTTTCTGATCAAAGGAAAAGAGCAATGTTAGAATAAACAGGGAGATATAATATCTCATAGTCCGTTTATATTTTCAGTATATAGCCGTATCAGGCTATAAAAAAGAGAAGAGTTAGTTCTTACATTTATTGCTGTCAACACTGAAATGAAAGAATATTATTAAGATAGACTCAGGTGAATAATTTCATGGCGTCTGAGCAGGCGCGCTACAGCGCTATACCTTCACATAACCATTTTCGAGCTGTTGGAATGTCATATCACGTAGTAGAGTTCCTTCGGAGCAGAAATTCCGGTTTTCATTGTAGTACAAAATAAGAAGTCAAAACATTTGTGGCATTATGTCGGTCGTCGGTCGAAATTCAACTATATGACTTCGTATGGACTTCAACTTTTCCTTCTTGGCATCTATTCTGAATTTTTCTTCTTTTATTCAAACTATTTTAATACACCTACAAAGAGTTCCAATCTTAATAAACTGAAAATAAAAACGATTTTTATAACGAAATAAAGAATTTATAACGAACTATATATACATATATAATTTATAACGAAATTTCAGAACGATTTTTAACGAAAATAAAAACAAAACCAAATTTTCAGTTTATAAAACCATCTGGGAACATATTAACTAAAGCATTTCCTCTTAAGCTTACAAAATTGTAAAATTTTATACCGAAATGATTGAAATGCATTTGTGAAAAACTAATTTAAAATGAATAACTATTACTTCATGTGCTAGATAAAATATATTATAAAGTCGGGATTCTCTTTCCACTCGACAGCAAACAGGAAAGCGAGTCTGACCACTTCAAATTCCGTCCGCGGAAAATGAAGTGGAAATTCCGTGCGGAAGTGACGTTTATTGCATAGCAACCAGTCTGTCTCACCTTTAAATTGCTCGAGGCTCAGGAGAAGGGGGCAGTTTGTTGTCAAAAGTGCTGTTTCGCACGGTGCTTATCACTGAGGATGGCGGTAGCCAAAGAAAAAAAAAATTACCAACCAGTTCGAGTAAATGGTGAAAGTTTTCGAAAAAATTTGCTGCTGTTAAATGGTAAACTGGATAGTACATTTAGTAAAGAGCACAGAAAAAAGAAATAGGAAGAGTTAATGGATATTTTAAACGCAAAAACAAATGGCCTTTCCAAAACTTCAGGTGTGTGAAAAAACGTAAGCATAATTTCACTTATGATGTTATCCCAAATGGAAATTTTCAAAAAGGTTACATGTTTGTAAACTATTTGTCAACAGAAATTTTATGATCAAAATATTTTTTGTCTTAAAAGGTTATGCAACAAATGTCATAAATCAAATCATTGAAATATAGCATCGCGTACTTGTGTTTAATATTCCTATCGAATTTGAATCAAAAATTTTACAGTTTTAGCAACTCATGATTATATCAATATTTTTATTTATTCATGATTTATACCTATGACGTAACTACAAATATACTATGCATCGCACATATATATTAATTTAACAAATATTCTCTCATTTGTATAAAGCTAATTTTCATAATTTAAAATTTAAATTAACTTTATACGAATGCGAGAATATCTGTTAAATTCGAATTTCGTTCCTTACAGCAACGGCGCAAGAGAATTATTTAAATTTAATTTAACTTTACTATTTGTTTATATGTATATATATATGTATAAGAACATGTCCAGTTGATGTGTAATTTTTCCTTCCATTTTATATACAAGTATAATATATACAATATATAAAATGGAAGGAAAAATTACACATCAACTACACATTAAGCGAATGGAAGGATTTTCTGTTTATATAAATGAATCTTGGCATTCTTCCGTCTCATTAGGTGCAATTATAGATACGTGGGTATCATCTACAGCGCCGATGACACCAGGAAATCCAAACTTTCGATTGAATCGTAATTTGATTTTGTTTTGTTGGAAACTACTTACACTGTAAATTTTACCCATATGGTGAAAATACCATAACAAATAGCATCTGTAACTTCTCAAATACACCAAATGACATATTTCTCGCTCAGTCTGTATATCTGTATTAACAGATATATCTGTCATTAACAACATATCTCTAATAACTTCCAGAATCATAAACGTTTAAGGCACACAAAACCTATTCTAACTAAATAAATAACTATACACATATATATGTAAAAACTGTATTATAAATATATTAACATATGCAGTGAAAGCTATTTCAGTACATATTTCTATTTATACCCTTTTTAAATTGATCCCACCAGCGGCCGTGCAGTAAAACCGCTGAACACTGGTAGTTCCATCCGAGTTTTGAATTCCGCGTAGGGACTGTCTGCATGAGCGTCATTACCAATATGTCTGTCTCATATCTCTGGGTTAGCATGAAACCAGAAGCATGAAAATGTAAAGCACATAAAACCTGTTTTAAACAAATAAATAACTATATAAAACTGTATTAGAAATATATTAACATATGCAGTGAAAGAAGTTGCAGTACATATTCCTATTTATACGCTTTTTAAATCCATCCCACCAGCGGCCGAGTGGTAAAATCACTGAACACTGGTAGTTTGGTACGAGGTTCGAATCCTGCGTACAGGCTTGCTGTTCGTATTTTTCCCCATGTGTAACGTGTATACGATCTAGTTCCCCTTAGGTAGTTCTCCACGAAGGCAACCTTCACCTTAAGCAGATAACCCTCGAGGCTTTCCCGTAATCACATAAAACTAAAACCCAACACTTTTTTAATCTGAATAAAAAATACACAACACAGATATACTACCTAAACGTAGATCACATAAAAAATCTGATAACTAATTATAAATCATGCATTAATATATTTACAGAAATGTAATTTAACTGAAAATTATACAGGAATTTAACTTGAATTATACAGGAGATTCTAAACACTATTGGAAACTGACATTCATATTGGTACAGTTAAAACTACTTAAATAATTTTTTTAACTCAAAGCAATTTAACATGAATGTTGAATTTAGGATGTGCATAATTTGAATATATACTGCATATTTTGTAATGCATTTGATTTCAAAATTACTCCTCAGAACATGAAATTAAGTATATTAATATATACATTAGTTTAAAAATTACAATTTTAAATTAAAAGTAACCACCCCTTTTTAGATGTGAATAAGGAAAACACCAAATATATTATTTTCACTTAAACTGAATTAAAAAATTGCTTCTCTGATAACAACCAGAAGCCTATATCATACAGATATGAAAACAAGCGAATTATTCCGTATTTTTAATTCGGAAGTTATTGCTGTCTTTGATGTGGATGCTCCGGTAAAATATGGCCTTAATTTATTGATAACAGTACATGCTATAGGTTTGGTAAGTCGAAATAATCCAATAAAAGTAGAATAGTTAGCATCAAATGCTTTATTTCTATCGCGTAACACTCAAGTTTTTCGCAAATCTTAAGAAATTAAAATATTCATTACGCACACTTCCAAAAACTATCCTTCACCTCCGACGCCTTCAGTTTAGCTCTAAAACGACAGTCAGAAACTTAAACGGCAGCTATCCAGCTGACGAAAAAATTTCCGGCGCGTCGATCTCTGTAATGATCGAGACGATGACACCAGACTCGCTCTCTGTCGAGTAGATCGCAAAAAACGACCAGTTCTTCCATCTTGACGGTGTCCAGACTAGGGCCCCAAATTACCACCCAGATGAATGACGGTGCCAGTCGTACAGTCAGTAAACGGATTGTCCAACGATCTCTTTACCGTATGGGTTTCGGGAGCCGTCGACCTACGAGAGTACCATTGCTCGATGCTCGCCATCGGGCTCCACGTCTTGCCTGGGCAAGAGAGCACAGAGACTGGAGTGTAGATAACTGTAAACGAGTAGCATGGTGTGATGAGTTTCGATTCTGACTACTTAACGCCGACGGGAGGCTGATAATATGGCGTCAGGCTCGTGAAGACATGGATCCTGCATGCCAGGTTGGAATTGTACACGGGCATGGTGGCTCAATCATGGTCTGTCGTGTTTTTTCGTGGCACTGTTTGGGATCTTTGGTGCGTGTACCAACCTCCCTCAATGCAATTCGGTACGTAGAGTTGCTGGGTGATCACTTCCATCCATTTATGCTGTTTTGTTATCCGCATGGTAATGGAATTTTCCAGCGAGATAACTGTACCTCTCACAAGTCCCAGTTGGCTACTGGCTGTTTGGATGAGCATTCCTCTGACTTTTCTGTCATAAATTGGCCACCTAGATGCCCATACTTAAATCCTATTGAGCATCTTTGTGCTATTTTGGAACAAGGCGTGAAAAGCCATCACACAGCATCAACGAACCTTAGTGAATTATGGACAGCCAATATTTGACAAGCCATTCCCGCAGCCGTTATCAAGGCCAGAGGAAGTCCAACTCGTTACTAGGTAGGTATGCCTAATTCAGTGGCACTTCAGTGTATAACCTATATTATTATTGCATCTGATAAATTAATAATTAATTAATTATTATTGCATCTGATAAATACACTTACTTTACCCAAAACATATTTATTAGAAGAAAAAATAAGGCCGTAACATTGTAATGTGAACATTGTTTTTAGTACACCTATTTGTATTCCTGTACCTACTGTATTTTTTTCATATTTCAACTGCTTTTTAAACGGATATTACAACTTAGAATTTTTCATGGGATAATACATAATAAGGAAAATGGAAATAAAGACATACATCAATTAGCATTGCAATGTGATGTACAATATCTGCATATAAGGAAAATGAACTGTTTGATAATACGCAAACCTGTAATACTGAATTCATATTGCAAAGAAGCCAAAAAAGAATCTCATCTGGTATATTTCTTTCTTCTTGATTTACCGCTGAGATTTCCAACCTTCTTTGGAAGCACTTTCCGCAAGACAATAACCATCTAATTCTTTAATTATCTAGATGAAGAAAGCAGCAGATTACCATTCTTATTTTATAATTTCCTTTAGTATATTTTGAAGGAAAGAAATATTTTAATATCGAAATAAAAAAAATTACGTAAATTTGATATTACATGTAAAAATGGACAGTCAATGAAAGATATGACTGCACGGGAATTTCAAGCATGAATAATAATAATAAAACGACTGTAAAGAAAACAAATAATCATATGGAAAGTATTGCTATAAAGTCATCCCATTCCATAAACAATATAGAGCCAATCGATTTCCTGAAAATACTTGCTTTTTCACATGATAAATCACAACTGCGTATTGTATTTTCCTATTACCCAACAACAGTTTTCAGAAAAATGAAAAGGAAAAGGAGTAAGCACGCCGTCTAAAACAATATCAAGACTTACCGCGTAGCATTTCATTTTCTACATACTAAATAGAAAATCAGTTGGGTTAAGTATTAAAATTAGAACGGTAGACTTATAATCTTTTAATTAGAAATAATTGACAGATAGACAACACCAATTAGAATATATAAACAAAACTAAGGGGATGTCGGCTAGTGGCTATGATAAAGTCATATCGTGACGTTTCACGATGTTACATTCATTGCAAAGGACGTACGGGGAGACTTACTTCGTTCCAGGTTCCACTGACATACCGTGCCTAGATTGCAGTTATGCAAGGTGTGTGCCGGTTGTCCTGAGCTAGTTGCCTCTAATGGCGATGCAAAAGCAAAATGCTTGGCAGAAGATGGGAGACTGTTGATGGTGACCAGCTGTAACGTGAGAATTGAAGACATCAGAAGGCTATGCCATATCCAGTGCTGTGCAATGAGAGCAATTCATGGTACATAGAATAATTTTACAATTTGCATGCCCGTTATAAGTACATTTTGGAAAAAAATTACAAAAATAAAAAAGGATTGCCAGTAATTCAACAGAGTAATGTAATAGGGGCACTCACCGAAGTGGAGGCCCAACAAGGTTCGTAGAAAGAACGGACCTTGGAGGCCCGACGAGATACATCAAAACATAAACAAAGCATAGTTATCATAACATATTGGCTATATCGTAAAAGCAGTAAATTTTATATATTTATATAAATATATAAAATCTCATTTATATACATTTTATATAAATGAGATGAAAATAAGGGTAATTAATTTCAGAGAATTACGTGTAGCGAAAATTATATACTGAGAAGTCTGCTTCGGGAGTCACATGACTTGAGCAGCCAATGAGATGAATTCAGTAGGGTATACGATAAAAATAAGAGTTGAATATTTACAAAATATATAGACAAGCGCGTAATGTTATACAGACAAGCGTATTCAGAGCAAACATGGCAATTTAACAGCTGATATTTTTCAGATAGTTGTATTAAGGTCTAAAAGTCGTAGGGTTTTTAGAGGCTGGGGACAGCTGAATATTTGGCGCTCCCTTCCGTTTGTTAAGAATGGAAGGTATTAAATTCTAGAATTTCGTAACATCAGTTTGGCTCCTCCTGCACGCTGCGCCCATGGATAGCTATCCCCCCTACCCCCTCTCTAGCTACGCCCCTGCTAAGAACTGATTTTTATCATCAAACACATTGGAAAGAATTAGTTATTGATTTTCAATTTTGGGTATTGATTTAAACTAAAAAGCACATCAAACAACGTGTTCAAAGTTTTTTGTCTTCTTTTTTGAAATTCGTAGATTGTTGGAAGAAATAGGTAAAGTTAGCAGCATTTAATAAATAATATTTTGGTTGTTTTATAAAATTTTGTATTTAAATAACGTAGACTAGTATTTACCATGTATCTAGCACATTATAGCCATTTCTGGTTATGCATTATTAAATCCACCATCTATCTATCAATTCATTTTTAGCTGCTGCATTTACATCATTCATAGTTTAGTCAAGTGAATGATTTAGTCTTCTCATAATTTAATACATTTATTTTCTACTGTAGAATTTAGTTATAGCAATAACTTAATGCAATAAAGTCGTTAAGAAATTCAACACCGTGGCGTGCTGGTCAGCGCACTGGGCTGTGATATACAATATTGCCAGTTCGAGCCTCGGAATTTACTGTGCTTAGTTTTTCACCCGTTCTCTATTTTAATTTTAGCGTCTACTAAAGTAGCTGCACTGTGTCTTTTGAAGGTTCTATATAAACCGGGAAACTGATTGGTTATCTGACTTTAATTTCATCCCACGATTATTTAATAGATTTTTAATAATACCGGGGCTTAATGAAAAATTTTCTGCAAACGCGAGAAATAAATACTGCAATCAACAATGAAGATTAAATAAAACGTTATGAGAAATAAATATATATGACAATAAACTACATTGATGATAAGTAAACTATTGTAAGAATAAAAGGTGAAAAATAAAATTACACATCGAAATGGAGAATAAAAGAAAATTAAATATTTAAAATAGAATTTTCAGCGCACTTCCAAATTACTGAATAAATTTTTGTGCAACTATTTCGTGAAAAATACTGTATTTACAAACAAAAAAAAAATTGACATGAAGAATTACTGTACAAAATTTAATTTATTAACGGAAAAATATTGATTAAATACGAAAATTCGCTTCAAGAACATTTTAAATAAAATTTGAACAATAAACCTGATTTAAATTGATGTACAATTTAATTACAAAAACTTACGATCGAACATGACATAAATAACAATATAATACAATCGCATGAATAACAAAATTTCTTATCGATTTCATAAAAAAATCAGCGTCGAACTTCATGTGGTTCCGGACTCCGATTTTCTTCTGTAGGAATTTCCATTTCTCTCAAAAGTAGTCAACTATCAGAACCAGGCTGAGGCTGACTTTATCTACTGGTTGTAATGGATTTTATGATGGCACCTAAAAATAAACTAAAATTTACTAAGGAATTTTGTGTGTGTGTGTTTAGAAATTTTTAAATTTCCTGCATTAAATTGTGCAAATATAAAGCCTGACTGTGAGCTAACTGATTTAAACCTCAAAATTTCATTAACATTTTACACTCATACATACTCTTTTATGCAAACCATATAAACCAAAAAATAAATTGAAGTCCACTGTATTCGTAATAGTTGCCAGTGATTGAGATACGATAAAATATGACGGTAGGAAAAAATGCAAACGTATAAAATATGACGGTAGGAAAAAATGCAAACGTATAAAATTTCTAAATGCATAGAATTTTTCTTCTGTGAAAGCAAAAAAATGAATAATAATTTTAAAATAGTAAATAAAAAAAATAATTTCCGACTAAAAACACAAACTGCGTTTTATTGTATTTACCGTATATTCCGGCGTATAACGCGGACTTTTAATACAAAATATAAGATAGAAATTTACAGGTGTGCTTTATATGTCAGATATAAAAATGATAGATTTAAAAATAAGTAAACGATGAGATACAAAAATTATATTTTTACATGTGCCTAAATGCTGTTTGTTTAAAAGAAATGGCATTCCTTATGAACTTAGAAAATTTCCTTATCTGATAACATGAAAAGTTCGTCGTATTCGTCTTCCGTTGTATCTTCAGGCACATCACCGAATTCTGTTTCACCTTCACCATCACTGTTATTCTGATCCATAAATAAATAATCATCTTACGCTTCATCTAGATTGTTAGATATACTATATTTTTAACGATTTTTTAATTACATCGGGTTTAATTTCATTCCATGCTTTTATTATCCGCTCACACACTATTTCTAGACTGGCATGACGCATTTGGCCTATTTTTCCTTCCTTACCTTCGATGTTCACTTCAAAAGGTTAACGTTATTGCATGACCTCGCTACAAAAGGTCACTACAAAAAGAGAAACATCTAACTGGTTTTTACGCGAATTCAATCGGGTCAGAAGTGCATTCTTAGCTAAAATAATGCACATTCCTATGCACATCTGCTTTGAATACAACACACCCTCTTGCATAATTATTTACACCCTGAAGCATTTTCCCCACAAACCTTACAGAGAATGTTATCGCTTACGGAAATGCTCTTCTTGACGAAAATTGGACCGACCTAATTAATAAAGAGGATTACGGATTAAACGATTTCACGAATGCAATGCATTTGTGCGAAGCGATTACTAAGGATATTAATTCGAAAGGACATATGTGTGCTATGAACCTTCAGCTGATACAAGATGAGGATACCAAGACTAGTCACAGAGTCGAGCTTCCAGAAAACAAGGACTATCACAGAATGTCTCATGAATGTTCTAAAAGGTAAGTGCGAATATTATGGTAATTTGAATCTGAATGCTAATAATATTTCTGTTAAGGATGTTGTATTGCAAAGATTTGATCAAAATGCTAGTGCTAATGACTGATGTTGTTAGTGATAAGATTAAACCAAAAGCTAAACGATCATCTAAAAAGGTACATAAAAGATCAATGAATGATGCAAAGATCAATGATGAGGATGGCTTTATTTTCCCTAGAAATGCCTCACGCCCAATGAAAATTGTTAAAAGTAATATTGATATCCCTCTGACTAACAAATTTGAGAAATTGTCATGCAATAACGTTAATAATAATGATTCTGATGATGTCCAAATATTAGATGCTTCTATGGATACCCAAACTGGACCTAGTAATGATATTAATGTTGTCCAACCCCGAAAAGTGAGACCAATAATGGTAAAAATCTGAGGTCAAATATAGTGACTTTCTTAAAATATTAAAAACGGAAACTAAACGTGACTTCGCAGGCAAAGTTAATGGTGAATTTTTAGATTTTCCCTACCACCGCAGATGACCACAGAGATATTACCAGATATCCGGATTCTAAAAAAAATCAACTTTTATGTCATCTTAACTAAACTAGACAAGACAATTAAAATTGTAATCCGCGGGTTGCCGATTGACTGCCCTAAAGAGGAAATCTCAGATGAATTCTATAACTTAGGATATAAAGTTAGGCGAGTAGCCCAGATGCACAGAATTAAAACTAAAGCGCCAATG